AGAACTTGCAGGGCACAGTCCTGCAGCCCCAAACCCACCCAGTGTTGGTCTTGTGGGATGTCCCAGGAAGGACACGGTGGTGGGACCAGGAGAACTTGCAGGGCATGGTCCATAACTCCCCAGACACACCCAATGTTGTCCTTCTGAGATGTCTCAGGAAGGACACGGCAGTGAGGTCAGGAGAACTTCAATGGCACCGCCCTTCAGCCCCAAACCCACCCAGTGCTGTCCTTTCATTCTGAGATGTCCCAGGAAGGACACGGTGGTGGGACCAGGAGAGCTTCAATGGCACCGCCCTTCAGCCCCAAACCCACCCAGTGCTGTCCTTTCATTCTGAGATGTCCCAGGAAGGACACAGAAGTGGGACCAGGAGAGCTTCCATGGGATGGTCCATAACTCCCCAAACCCACCCAGTGCTGTCCTTCTGGGATGTGCCAGGAAGGACACGGTGGTGGGACCAGGAGAACTTCAATGGCACCGCCCTTCAGCCCCAAACCCACCCAGTGTTGTCCTTTCATTCTGAGATGTCCCAGGAAGGACACAGTGGTGGGACCAGCAGAACTTTCAGGGCACGGTCCACCAACCCCAAACCCACCCAATATTGTCCAGGAAGGACACGGAGCTGAGATCAGACCACGATGGACACCAAGACCCCAAACCCACCCAGTGTTGTCCTTTCATTCTGAGATGTCCCAGGAAGGACACGGTGGTGGGACCAGCAGAACTTGCAGGGCACGCTCCTTCAGCCCCAATGTTGTCCTACTGAGATGTCCCAGGAAGGACACGGTGGTGGGACCAGCAGAACTTGCAGGACACGCTCCATCAGCCCCAAACCCACCCAGTGTTGTCCAAGAAGGACACGGTGGTGGGACCAGGAGAACTTGCAGGGCACGCTCCACCAGCCCACAGAGCCACCCAACGTTGTCCGGGAAGGACACGGAGGTGAGATCAGACCACGATGGACACCAAGACCCCAAACCCACCAAGTGTTGTCCTTTCATTCTGGGATGTCCCAGGAAGGACACAGAGGTGGGACCAGGAGAACTTCCATGGGATGGTCCTTCAGCCCACAGACCCACCCAAAGTTCTCCTTTTCTTCTGGGAGGTCCCAGGAAGGACACGGTGGTGAGATCAGGAGAACTTGCAGGGCATGATCCACCAACCCCAAACCCACCCAGTGCTGTCCTTCTGGGACATCCCAGGAAGGACACGGTGGTGGGACCAGCAGAACTTGCAGGGCACGCTCCACCAACCCCAAACCCACCCAATGTTGTCCTTCTGGGATGTCCCAGGA